ATATATTTTAGTGAAATTCAATATTTTCACTAAAATCATCATCACCGCCAGATTTATATGATAATTTGGAAAACTTTCAATCTAGTATTGTTCAGCATGGTCGATTCCATCAGGTAAAATTACTTCCGAATATTTTCCTATTGGTTATCATGATGATAGGTTCATGTATATTTTCAACATGTACATATACCATATCTCAACATGTACTTCACCAACTTGAAAAATGTCTTTCATCACTACTATTCAAATAGATAATAAACAATATATTTATTATCAGATTTTTATCATTTTGTGTTTTTGCCAATTTCGGGTTATTCATGGTCACCAATCATGATCCATGCCAAAAGTACACAGCCAATCATCTTGAAACATTAATAAACTTTTATTAGTATTATTGTAGGTGTACTATATAAATTATTTCGTCTTGTTTCGTTGAAATCATGAAGATTTGGATTTTTCTGTTTTTCATTAAATTTCACATCACCTACACCATATTTGTTGATGTAAACTAGACTAGTTACATGTACATAATCAATGGTTGATTCTCTAATCATGTTTTAGTGTTGTTTTGTGTATTTAGGATTTTGAAATCTTGCGAATTATCCTGAGGTTATTCTTCATATAAATATGATTCCTCACTTCATGATATGAGGAGGGATTGATATCATGATTATTTGGAAGTGTTGTACAAATTTTGGACACTATCTTAATTGAAATCAGGTAGAAAGAGTCCAATCTTTAACACCATATAAAATATGACTTGTGGCGATGGTTTTGACCTTGTTGTTCATACCTCCAACATTGGAAAAGTAGAATGATAAACACCTTTTCTCATCATATTCAATATTTATGGAAGTTATGACCATAAGGATAAATTTCGCATGACCCAAGCATGCAGATTTTATTCGCCTAGATAAATTTCGCCTAAATTTTAGGCGAAATAAATCGCCTAGAACATAATCTCTTAAATAACCCAAATAAATCAACTCTGAATCCTAACCAACCCCAAGCTCTCGCAGTATATGTTAGTAACTGCTACAAAAATTCATCATGGTACAATCGTCCCACTGACTCCTTCATCAAAAACAAAAAATACACTTCTGCTTACCAAAGGCAACAGCTGTCCCAACCACTTAGCCCGAACCAAACGTCCAAACACTGAACAGAACTAGATGGTTGAACAGCTAGTCTCTTATATCATAACGAAGTAGATGTTGAAAAAGTTGGTTATCTTTGAAATTCAATTGATCTTAATGATGTTTAAGGAAATAAGGTTAATTGTTCGATTTAAGGTGAAAGAAATGAAATAAAAAGAAAAAACAAGAATTTTATTATTTTAATATCATTGTGTAATGTTCACAATGAGTTTGATAATTTTTGAATCACTCTTGAAGGAGTGAATCATAAATAAAAGGTGTAAGTTTATTAATGTCTCTTGTATCAATAACGACCTGAGAGACCACACTTTTTCGGCATTTAAGGACTCTGTGCAACATTTGAATGATTTGGGTTAAGATTGAGTGCCGTTGAGTGAGTGTGCCTAAAGTAGGCGGATTGGAATTTTGAGTTTTTGATAAAAGGTTGTCGGGAGGGACGGTTGTACCACATAGTGTTTTTGTAACAATTTTCTAAATAAATGGCGAATGCCTTGTAAATTTCTAGAGCTACAGCCTTAGGAAGTCTTTTGTTCTTTGACCATAAGAGCCAGTCGCTGCGAGAGCAGCTTCCGTTAAAATCAATAATAAGGCAGTTCCTCACTTTGTCTGAAGGGAGACGAATCGGATCGAGGTTAAATTTGGAGGAAATATTGTCCCAAGTAGCATACAGTTCCTGTTTTTCATGGTTGCTTTTAGAGCACGATGAGAAAACGTGTGTCCAGTCTTCGGCAGTTTGACATGAATCACAGGTTGTATTGTTATCTAGAATAATAGCGTGGTGAAGGTTTAGGAAAAGGAGTCTTTGTTGATAGTAGGAGAGATGGAAATTTCTCCAAAAGGAAACAGTTGAAAGGTGCCAATTAAGATTTGAATCTAACTGGCCCAACTCTGAGATGGTTTTTTTGGATCTTTTGAGTTCAAGAATATCGTTTCGTAAGTTGGTGATGGGTTTGTGTGACGATCTGTCACAAAGAACCCATCCACTCTCTGTTGGATTGAAGTATGCATTGAGTTTGTTGATATTTAAGGCTGCATTTGTCCAGAGAGAGTCTGTAGATTTGCCTCGGAGAGCTTTTTGAATCGAGGCCCTTGCAATGTTGCGGGTGATTGTGGATGAGGAGTTCACAAATCTACAGACCGATGCTGTGCATTCAATGTCTAACACATCTACAGGAGACGTGACTAGAAATCTCTCTCCAAGCCAAAACACAAAATAATGAAAAACTGATATTAAATATGGTCTAACACATCTACAGGAGACGTGGCTAGAAATCTCTCTCCAAGCCAAAACACAAAATAATGAAAAACTGATATTAAATATGGTGTTTATTAGTGATTTAAACAATAGTACTAGAAGAAAAGTATCCAAGTTGGTGAAGTACATGTTGAGTTATGGTCCATGTACTTTTTTGAAAATTCACATGTACCTATCCCTATCAAAACTTGATGAAAATCCACCGTTCAAATTTACTATGCTACTATTGACCATTTCCAACAATCCTACATTAATAGTTTTCCAATCTTTCCAATGGATTCAACAGTGATGATGATTTTAGTAAAATGTTGAGTTTCACCAAAATAAAGATATTTCCAAGACATAGAAATCACCCATACTATTCTACTATATTAAATATATCTATGATGACGGTTGGTGAGTGTTCCGATGATGGTTTACCAACTTGAAAAATTATAATCCAAAAATTGATTTACTATTTTATGATGAAAGTCCAATAATAAAAATTACTACTATTACTACTATTTAGATGATGTTGAGATGATGATGTGAAAGTTTGGCAGCTTACGGATGTGAAACCACTCGAAGAATCATCAAAGTACATCACGTACTAGATATTGAAATATTTTTTCACATATTCTTAAATGAACAAACAAACCTTGCTTCAAATGGATGAATGACATGCTATGAGAAAAACAATAAAAACATGAAAATATCAGATATCCATGATTTTCACAAATTATGCTACAAGACTTGAAATTATACATTTAATAACATAATAAACATTATGAATTGTTGTTTTATTGTTGTTTGATTTGTAATTGGGCTATGAATCAACTCTGATAGCATCAAATATCGGAACTTGGTAAATTGACAACATGACGAAAATCTGATAATAAATATGATGTTTATTATCTGTTTAAATAGTAGTACTAAAAGACATGATTCAAGTTGGTGAAGTACATGTTGAGTTATAGTCCATGTACTTTTTCAAAATTCACATGTACCTAACCCTATCATAACTTGACCAAAATTGATAAGAGAAAATTCTCTTACCTACTATTGACCATTCCGAACAATACTACATTGACAGTTTTCCAACTTGTCCAGTAGATCCAGCAGTGATGATGAATTTAGTGAAAATTTTGACATTTCACCAAAATTACATTACTAAAAATTAATTTCCACAAATACTATTATTATATTGATGGGAAACAATAATGATGATGGTTGGTGAATGATCCGATGATGGAACACCAAATTGTGATTTTCCATCATGAAAAATAACTTCCAATTTCATGATGATAATCCACCAATAAAAATTACTATTATTACTACTATATAGATCATGTTGAGATGATGATGTGAAAGTTTGGTGGTTTTATGATGTAAAACCACTCCGAAAATCATCATGTCCTCCTTGAGTAGATTTTATTTTTAGCCAACAAATTTTTTTTTGTGAAACCAAAGAAAAATCTTTACATAATTTTTCCAAATCATGATTAAATTCCAAAAGTTACTAGTAATACTATTATTTAAATCATGATGAGATGATGTGGTGAAATTCTTGGAGTTAATAGATGTGAAACTACTCAAAGAATCAACAGTCGTGATGGACTGCTTGTTGCCAATATTTTTGAAATATTTTTGTTCCAGAAATTGAATTCCATTTAATGACTTCCAACATTGAATAAAGTAATATTTTGAAACTAATTTTCTGATTATGTTATTGGAGTTGGTTAGTAGAGAGTTTTCTTAGTGTTTTCTGTAAAACACAATACCACGGTTTATGGTTATGATACATTACAGATGGATAATATAGTTTATTTTTCAGTAACACTCTAACGTCGACACATTGGTCCCAACTTGTATTAATGTCCTGATAAGGTCATTTCTGGAATTTTGGAACAAATAATTTTAAAACAGATATGTAAAATAAAGATTGTTTTGAAATAAAATGCAAAAATCGGTAATCCCTGACCTGTTGAACACATCAACCATTTGGCCACACGCTAAGCTGAAGGCTTCTTTTTGTATGCGTTACGTCTGTATTTGGCTAGCAAATAGATTTCGCACATATGTTTGTTGGAGTGGATAATAATTTGTTTTAAAATTATTATTGTAAAAAAATGAACTTCGTTATAGTTATCCTTCTTTGCGTTTTTTTTGTAGTGCCAGTAAATACACAAACCCTGCTTTACAACATTACCACTGTTGTTGGTGGGGGTAATGTTGGTGATGGTTTAGTTGCAACAAGTGCTAAATTATATTATCCTTCTGGAATTGCCATCAGTTCAAGTGATGAAACTTATATTGCTGATACAAACAATCATAGAATTCGTAAAATCACAACATCTGGTATAATTTCAACAATTGCTGGAAATGGAACAGCAGGATATAGTGGTGATGGTTCATCTGCAAAAAGTGCTCAATTATATTATCCTTCTGGAGTTGCCATCAGTTCAAGTGATGAAATTTATATTGTTGATAGAAGCAATAATAGAATTCGTAAAATCACAACATCTGGTATAATTTCAACAATTGCTGGAAATGGAACAGCAGGATATAGTGGTGATGGTCATCTGCAACAAGTGCTCAATTATATTTTCCTTCTGGAATTGCCATCAGTTCAAGTGATGAAATTTATATTGCTGATACAAACAATAATAGAATTCGTAAAATCACAACATCTGGTATAATTTCAACTATTGCTGGAACTGGAGGGTATATGTTGGTGATGGTTTAGTTGCAACAAGTGCTAAATTATATTATCCTTCTGGAATTGCCATCAGTTCAAGTGATGAAACTTATATTGCTGATACAAACAATCATAGAATTCGTAAAATCACAACATCTGGTATAATTTCAACAATTGCTGGAAATGGAACAGCAGGATATAGTGGTGATGGTTCATCTGCAAAAAGTGCTCAATTATATTATCCTTCTGGAGTTGCCATCAGTTCAAGTGATGAAATTTATATTGTTGATAGAAGCAATAATAGAATTCGTAAAATCACAACATCTGGTATAATTTCAACAATTGCTGGAAATGGAACAGCAGGATATAGTGGTGATGGTTCATCTGCAACAAGTGCTCAATTAAATTCTCCTTCTGGAATTGCCATCAGTTCAAGTGATGAAATTTATATTGCTGATATGTTCAATAATAGAATTCGTAAAATCACAACATCTGGTATTATTTCAACAATTGCTGGAACTGGAACATCAGGATATAGTGGTGATGGTTCATCTGCAACAAGTATTCAATTATATTTTCCTTATGGAGTTGCAGTAAGTCTAAGTGATGAAATTTATATTGCTGATATGTTCAATAATAGAATTCGTAAAATCACAACATCTGGTATCATTTCTACAATTGCTGGTGGTATAGGCGATGGACTATCAGCAACTACAGCTTACATTAATGCCATTACGTTCGAATTTTCCTCAAGTGGTGAAATTTATATTGCTGATACAAACAATCATAGAATTCGTAAAATCACAACATCTGGTATAATTTCAACAATTGCCGGAACTGGAACATCAGGATATAGTGGTGATGGTTCATCTGCAACAAGTGCTCAATTAAATTCTCCTTATGGAATTGCTATCAGTTCAAGTGGTGAAATTTATATTGCTGATACAAACAATAATAGAATTCGTAAAATCACAACATCTGGTATAATTTCAACAATTGCTGGAACTGGAACACAAGGATATAGTGGTGATGGTTCATCTGCAACAAGTGCTCAATTATATAATCCTTATGGAGTTGCCATCAGTTCAAGAGGTGAAATTTATGTTGCTGATTACAATAATAACAGAATTCGTAAAATCACAACATCTGGCATTATTTCAACAATTGCTGGAACTGGAACATCCGGCTATAGTGGTGATGGTTCATCTGCAATAAGTGCTCAATTATATAATCCTTATGGAGTTGCCATCAGTTCAAGTGATGAAATTTATATTACTGATACAAACAATAACAGAATCAGAAAACTTAGTCCTTGGTGCACTGGAAATGCCATTCTTTTAGATGGATCTTGTGAGTATCCATGTTTTGGAACTACAAACAAAATTCCAGCTGTTGTATGCTCTGGAAAAGGTTCATGTATTGGCTATAATCAATGCAATTGCACAGCTGATTACTTTGGTTACAAATGTGATGAATTTTATTGCTATGAGT